AGGAAGGAAGGAAGGAAGGAAGGAAGGAAGGAAGGAAGGAAGGAAGGAAGGAAGGACAGGTATAATTATCTTCTGAAGAAAATGAGTTACAGTGTGTTTAACTGATTAATTCAATTTCTGAATGACAAAACAACAAATAGAACCCTGCTCTCCTAACTTCAAGTGCATTGCTCTTTCCTCCACAATCCTCTGCCTCTTGGGGAATGCATTCGATAGTGTGTTATCCAATGGAGAACTCTTCATTAGAAAAGTTCCCTGGAGGAGCTAGACTTAAAACTATTATTTTAAGGAAAAGAGGGCTGCAGCCTGGCTGATGGTGAATAGAAAACTTTCCCATAAATTTGGTACAAAATGGAGAAAAAAAACAGAGGAAAGGCTGTGTTCAAGGGAAATGTAGGGGTAGGGTCATGGAAAGGAACAAGCATTAATTAAGTGCCTATAATGTGCCAGGAGCCATGTTAAGTGCTTTACAAATATTGCCCCATTTGATCCTCACAAGAACCCTTGGAAGTAGGTGCTGTTATTATCTCCATTTTACAGTTAAGGAAACTGAGGCAGATAGAGGTTAAATAACACAACTAGTAAGTGTCAGAGGCTGGATTTAAATTCCAGTCTTCTTAACTCCAAGCCTAGGGCTATATCCACCGTGCTGCCTGGAATGTGGGTGTCAGTGAAACCTAGACAGGAATGTTAGGGACAGCTTTTGTAGAACCTTGAATATTTGTCTGTAGGAATAAAGGGAAATGCTCTCTGATGGTGAGGGGCATCATTAGAGTAACAGTGTGAGGCAACATGGTTTTGTGAACTAGATATCTAGCTAAGTTTGCAAAAGATCAACTTTCCACTGACTGTTTGGCCTTGGGCAAGTTACATAAACTCTCCCAGTTTTGGTTTTCTTATCTATAAAATGAGGATAATGATACTTGGACCACATAGCATGCGGTAAGTACAGTTTGGAGTGGAGAGAGACCAACAAGACAGATTGAAGTAATTCACATAAGCTAATGAAGGTCTGGAAAATAGATTTGGTAGACCAGAAACTTGAGAGAAGAGAAAAGGAAGAGTCAAGAGATTTAAGAGGGGCAGTTAAGTGGCACAGTGGATAGAGCACCGGCCCTGAAGTCAGGAGGACCTGAGTTCAAATCTGGACTCAGACCAAACACTTGACACTTACTAGCTGTGTGACCCTGGGCAAGTCACTTAACCCCAAGCCTAAAAACAAAACAAAAAGAGAGAGAGAGAGAGAGAGAGAGAGACAGAGAGAGAGAGAGAGACAGAGACAGAGACAAAGAGAGAGAGAGAGAGTCAGAGAGATTTGAGAGTTATGGTAGTTGAGTTAGCCAGATTTAGTAAATGACAACATGTAGAAAGGAAAGATAAAGATGTTGAAAAAATTATCCTGAAATCAGGGCTCAGAGATAAGATCTTGGGATAATGGCAATGCCCAGAAATAGTAAATATATATATATATATGTATGTGTGTATATATGTATGTATATATATATGTATGTATCAAGAAATTACATACCTTTCACATGGAAACAGAACCTCTTGATCCTCTTCTTCTTCTTTAAATTTAATAATAATCTTCTCAAGAAACCATCCATTGCCTGGGTTAAATTGACAAAGAAAAATAACTCCACTTTTGAAGTCCTTGGCAAGAGGTATACCAACCTCTACATTTCAATTTCCTCTATAAAAATCTACATTTTCCATTATAAAAATCAATTAACAAAAGTTGATTGATGAAATATACTAAGATGTTTAATAGGATAGGTAATATACACATTTCAAATCATACCAGCAGAGAAACTAGTGCATGAACAGGTACAAGTGACTTCTTCATTTATTATTCATGGAAAAGGACTCAAGATCCAGAGAATCATAACATTTAAAGACATAAATAACCTTAAGAAGCAGCATGGCATAATACATAGAGAACCTCCTGTGATCAAGCATTGCCTTTGACACATGCTGGTTGTATGATCCTGGGCAAGTCATTGAACTTCTCACTGCTCTAAGATGAAAGGGTAACAATCTATATTAGTGGAGGAAGTTCCTCAAGGAGCTTTCTACATCAATGGTATCAAACTCAAGTAGAAATGGAGACCACTAAACTATTCATAAGGATCCATGTGGGCAACATACTGATTTAGAAAGCAACATATTAACATTATGTGTGTTCAATTTAGTTCAATAAACATTTGTTAAATGACTACCATGCACCAGACATTGTGCTAAACACACTAGAAACAAAAAGAGCAAAAGACAGTCCCTGTTCTCAAGGAGCTTACAATCTATTGTATTTTTATTGATTTTGTTAACTATTTCAATATATTACAATTTATTACAATAGACTATATTATAATCAATTGTAACACAATCAATTGTATTTTATTGATTTTGTTAAATATGTCCCAATTATATTTTAATCCAGTTCTGGGAATGTTGTTCAGCATTCAGCATATTTGGTACATCTGCTCTACAACAAAAAATCATGGGCCTGGTTCTCTCACTTCCTCCCCAAAAAAGGAAGGGTCTTAGAAATTACATATGTAGTCCCTTAAGGTTTTCAGAAGGCTTCCCTCACCATAACCTTGTAATGTATGTAGTATAAGTACCTTCTTCATTTTACAGATGAGGGAACTGTGGCTCTGAAAAGCTGAGGGATTTGCCCATCATCAGGTATACATATTAGGCATCTGAGCAGAATTTGAACTCAGGTCTCCAGACTCCAAGTTCCACATTCTATTCAACTATTCCACTCTTTCCTTTATCACAGAATTCAGAGCTGGTCAACCTTATGATTTTATGGATGAGGAAACTGAGCCTGAAAGAAATGACTTGCCTAAGACCATATAAGCAGTATGTAGCAGAGTTGGGATTTAAATCCAGGTCCTTTGATCTTAATGTCAGTACTTTCCCTACAATATTTACTGCACCTTGTTTAAGCAAAGGCTGATACTGTTCAGTAACACCATCAGAATCTTGAGTCAGATTTTGTCTATCCCTCAGCTTCTCCAAAGAAATTGTATTGATTTTTCTTGGACACCAAGGCTGAAAAGAAGTACTCTTTAGTGCACGAAAGTAATAATTGAGACTGAATACAGGCTAAAAAAAACTTTTTTGAAGAACTTCATGTTCTGCAAATTTATTTCACTTTTCAAAGGGAACTTCTTTAAAATGAAATCATTGCTGGAAGTCATCTTTCCAATTTGAAATGACTTGAAGATAAAATAGAGGCATATCAATCTATAATGAATTTGCATGGCAATTTGAAAAGTGCATAATGTTCTTTGGATCTCAGTGGATTGGTAGAATGAGTAGAGTTTTGTCAGATGGTTGGGAAACTTGAGGTGGAAAGGAATGGGGAGAATTGAACCACAACTTATTTTCAGGGAAAAGAAATGTAAATAGCTTATATTTATACATCATTCATTCTTTCCCTATAAAACAGCACATGATCAAGTTTTTCATTTGGTTGGTGGGTTTTGTTTCAAATAAAAGCTGTTAAAGGCAAAGATTTTAGCTGTTAAGAATTCAGCAGAATCAGTTCAAATTTGTTACTACTATATACTGAACCCACTAGAGCTGGGTAAATGGAGAACTGGTTCTAGGGGCTATCTCCTGGAATACACCTAATTTTGTTAAGGAACACACTGTGTTCATATACTGTATCTTACAATCATCAGATTTCATCTGCAGTTCCTTTATGGACCCAAAAAAGTTAATGATATTCCATAGGTGCCTCATTTGCAAAATAAGGAAGTAATTGTCATGGGGACTATTCAATTCAACACATGTAAAAACCAGATAAGTTGTCTGCATTTGAAAGAAGAAAGAAGAAATAATAAAATAACTAATGCACAAGGCCTCTCAACAATATTAAATAGTAGATACATCTGTCTCATCTCTCTTTCTTGTACCTCTTTCCTATCTTTGAGTATGTTCTTTTTCCATAGTGCCATCATGTTGCTCATCCCAAGTTCCCATAGTTCACAACCGAATCTACTTTCTTCCTAAATGGGCCATGCTCAAAATGACTTTCTTTTTCCCACCTACTCACAGCCCAAACTCCCATTCCCTCAGTTGAGAAAGTCTTTGCTAAGAAGAAAGCAATCAGCATAGTGGGACAAAAATCACTGGACTTGTCACGTGGAGGCCTGTCTTTGAGTCCCAGTCTAAAATTAACTAGATGGGTAGTCTTGCTAGGTGATGAAGTATATAGAGCACCAGACCTGGAGTCAGACCTGAGTTCAAATCCAGCCTCAGACACTAGCTGTGTGACACTAGGCAATTCACTTAATCCTGTTTGCCTTAGTTTCCTCATCTGTAAAATGAACTAGAGAAGGAAATGGCAAACCACTCCAGTGTCTTTGTCAAGAAATCCTAAATGGGGTCACAAAGAGTCAGACACAACCTAAATGACTGAACAGTGGTGATCTTGGGAAGTTACTAAAGCTTAATGTCTTCATTTTAGAGTCTCAAAGAAGGCAAATGACTTGCCAAGGTTGCACAGCTAGTAAGAGTCAAAGCTGGGATTTGTACCCTAGGATTCTGACTCCACACCTAGAGCTTCTTTCAATACACCAATTTCTTCTATCCTGGGCTTCTGGGTCTCTGGGAACTATCATCCTAAGCTGCATAGTAAGAGTGGAATATTGAGCCCTACTTAGTAAGGACACTTATATGGTATGATTTACTTGTCTATACATACAATGTCCTCATTTTAAATATGGTCTAAGGTTATCTTCCAGTTGTATAATCCCAACCTTTTTAGATTTTGATTAAAAATTCAATTTTAAAACACAATGGCTAAATTTAAGTACAGATTGAGCTTTCATTTTCTTCTCATTGAAAGAAGTAATTTAACATGAACAGAAAGGGCTTTTCTAGAGCAGTAAAACTTTCCCTTAGAAAGCCTTTCAAATGTGTTACTATTTAGAATGCAGCATTTAAGGTTGGTTCTTTTACCAACAGATCAATGGAAATATAAAGAGTAATATTTTATTGAAGTATTTCAATTCTTCTCTTTGAATTTAAATATCCTGTTTAGTTCTGTAAAGATAACTCACAGGCCCAAAGTGTCTTCACCTTTAAAAATTGTTAAAACAAACAAACAAACAAAAAGTGTTGAGAACCTCATCCAAATACTTCACTATACCATACCTATATAACTTTTCTCTGACTAAAACTTTGCTGAGGAGAAAATTAATAGTTTAGAAACAAAATTCCTTACATATAGCTGTCTAAACTATTTCTTCCATTTATGACTTATTTTTTAAAAGTATATTCAAAATCCTAATGGTCTATTCCCTTAATGTTGTATTTCTTCTCTCTCTCAGGAATCTTGGTAGCATATCAAGTTAAAAACAACAGTTTGCCCTTCTTCCAATCCCTTTAAATTCATCATTCAATCATTAAGCATCTTATAAAGTACCTACTATGTGCTAGGCATTGGGAATACAAAGACAAAAATGAAATAGTCTCTACCCTCACGGAATTTACATTCAATGAAGGGAGAAAATATGTACATTAATATGTAGACCCAAGACACATAGAAAGCAGATACCTAATTTCTTCTTACCTTTGCCTTCACGTATATAGAGACACACATGCAAAAATTTCTACCTTCTCTTTACATTCAAGAGGTTATTCACTGGGGCTTTTTCTAAAGTATGGTTCAGTTACTGTTCTTTCTGTATTTAGACCTTCTAAAATGCCTTGTTAGCCTTCCCCTTGGAGATCTAATGTCAGAATGATCAAACAAGCTCATGGGTAAGTCAAGGATTAATAACTACTCTGTGAGCTTTCCCACTTATCTTCATGGTGTTTCATGGGCTGCCAGCTCTTTGCCTAACTCTACCCAGAGCTTTTAGCTACATGTGCCATTGGTTTACACTGGTGGCTGAGTGAGAGGGCATCAAGAGATCAGTTCTGACCTAGTCACACTACTGAAAACAATTCAAAATATACAATCCTACTAATGCCAAGTCAGAATTGTCACCTCTCACAAAGGATGGCATAATTGTTCTTGCTTCTTTTGGTTCAAACTCATATTATTGGCTGTCTCTCTAATAGTTACCACCTGATTCCTTTTATAAACTACTTATTTTCTCCTTACCCTGCTTCCTTCTCTTTTTGCCATTTTCATTTTAATTGTTCTGGAAAAAAAGCCTACTTTCTTTTAAATGATATTTTAATGTTACTTCATCACATTTCAATAGTTTACTTTTCTTTTTACCCAAAGCTATATTATTCTTATAAAGCCCATGTGATATAATAAAGAAGACACTGAATTTAGAATTATAAGATCTGGGTCCAAGTTCAACTCTGTGGCTTCCTAGCTACATGAGTCTCAGCAAAATCAGGTAATATCCCTGAGCTTCAGTTCCCTCATTGATAAAATGAAGATAATAATACTTGCAACAGCCTTTGCGAGGATCAAATGAGCTAATATACTTAAAGTGCCTTGTAAACTATAATGTACTATATAAATGCAAGCTACAATTAGTAATAGAAGTAGTAGTATTAACGGTGATAGTAAAGTGTACTATGCCTGGAAACAATTTGTTGACTTTTTTTTTAATCCTTGGCAATAATGTGTAGCAATTATCAGGTCTTAATAACTCATGTTTACATAGTGTTTTGTTATCAGAAAGCACCTTACATACTTTATGATGTTAGGCAGGTTAATAACCTTTGTTGGCCTATTTCCTTATCCATAAACAAAGGGATTGGATTAGCTACATAGCCTCTTGGATCCCTTCTATCTCTAAATATATGTTTCTATAATCCCATTCTCCCATTTGATTCTCACAGAACCATGCAAAATAGTAAAAGTGCCATTGCCCCCAGTTCACATATGAGAAAACTGAGGTAAAGGGAGGTTAAGAGACTTGCCCAAAATTACTCCAATCCAAGTTTTCTGATTCCTAGACATGACTCTCAGTAACCAAGCTATTTCAAAATGTTTGATGTTGAATTTTATTTTAGCATTAGCTTTACTTGTTATATACACATAAGTAATAGCCATAAAAGGGATTTCCCTATCACTGCTTATGTGGGCTCTGCTATTTTACTTTTATCATCAGTATAACCTAACTTTTCCACTGACCTGAAGAGTTTGAAAAAAAATTCTCATCAGAAAGCTGCCTCTTACCTGGACCAGCCCCATCATGACTAATTAGAACTTTCTTCAGATCTCCAAGAGACACAGCCCTAACGACAAAGATGTCCACCTACACAATGAAAGAATAAGATGAAGGCATGTTATGTATGTGTAGCGCTTTGCAAACCTTAAAGTGCCATGTATGTGTTAACTCATTATTTTCTCTGAACAAACATTAATGTAAATAGAGTCATTCTTCAACTAAGTTATCTGGAAAGAGTTAACAGTTAGATAACCTACAGTCAAACTGGTGATAAGCTTGTTTTTGCAATAGTAAATATGCTTTCTTGTCTCTGGGTCCTGATGCTGCCTCTCTCACTTATGTCTGTACCCTTGGGTCAATCACTTAACCTCTTTGGGGCTAATTTTTTGAATCTCTCTCCTCTCTAGGTTTTCTTGGCACTGTTCTTTCTCTTTGGTGCTTCTATACATTCGACAGTTCCTTCTCAGTCTGCTTGCTAGATCTTCATCCAAATCATGCAACCCTTAACTCTGGGTACCAATCCCCAAGGCTCTGAGCTGGGGCAGCTTCTCTTTTTTCTTTATTCTATCTCACATGGTGTCCTTATCTGTTCCCTTGGGTTCATTATTTCTCTACAGATGATTCTCAGTTCTATATACCCAACTCTATTCTTTTTCTTGAGTTACATTACTAGCTCAACAATTGCCTTTTGGTCACCTTGAATTTTATGTGCAGTAGGCATTTCAAACTAAGAAAAAAACAGAACTCATTATCTTTCTAGAAAAACCCTCCCCTCTTCCAAACTTTCTTATTACTGTTGAGGGCATCAGTAGCCCCTATGCTCTCAACTTCGCTTTCATACTCAAGTGCTCACATTTATTCACACCATATGTCCAATCTGTTGCCGAGTCTTATTGTTTCTACCATCAAAAAATCTGTTGTATATTTCCCTTACCTCCTCTCACATAGCTACCCAAAACTATCTCACCAACTCTTGGCTGAACTACTGTAATAGCCTTCTAACTGACCTCCCTGTACCATCACTTCTCATTCCAATTCATCCTCTCTTTAGCTGCCAAAATGATTTTACTAAAATGATGCTCTGGCCATGTCGTCTCTCTCTTCAAAAAACATTGTGTTGGTGGATATTGCACACATAATATGTGTGCTTATGATATGTATTATATATATGTGTATATATGAATAAAAGAGGATTTAAATTAGGCCCTTATTTTGCTCGAATCAGTATTAATCAGTTCAGTATAATTATTCCGTAATAGTTAGCAATTATTAGTGATATACTCATCTAGTAATATACATTTAGTCAGTCTTGTCAATTTAACACAAGTATAGAAATTACATACATTAATAGATATTTTACGTATCTTAGATACAGGAATAATTAGATACGGTTAGATTGGTTCTTTCTTATAATAGGCCCCAAACTTTAAACTACAAGCTATAAGTTTACTATTCACTAATCTGTTATGAAGTTCACTTTCCTAACCACAAGAATACTGACTAGAGAACCTCCATCCTTTTGAGTGATGAGTTCATAACGAAGCCCAGCATAAGGGGGATGTCTTAACATTATATGTTAAGTTTTCCAACTTTTTGTGTCTCTGGACCACCCTCTCTTGCCCAGTGTGAGCAGGTGACCATCTTATGACCACTTAGTCACCAGAGATGACCCTGGCCTTGCCCATCCTGTGACCACCCATGCTGGTGCATCATTTCTGGCTCTCCTGGAGGGTCAAAAGCAAGGTCTATCAACTAATGAGACTGCATTTTACTTTGCCTCTTCTGAGTGTCTGGGTATCTGGGTAATACTCTAAAAGTAAGGCCACGGGGACCAGGAGGCATCCCAGATTGTGAGGAAGATCTGAAGTCCACTTCATTAGAGGAGACCATGGACCCTTTAATAAAATGCTATTGGCTTGGAGCTCTGCCTCAGTGGGTTTTTTTTTTTCTTGCAGATTGTATGTATATAAATACAAGGTAGTTAGGGAGGGCACTAATGGTTGGAGGTATCAAGAAAGGCTGTAGATAATGATGCTTGAACTAAGGAAGTAATGGATTTTACATGGCAGAGGTATACATTACAAGCATGTAAGATCAGCACATAGAAGTCACACAGTAAATATTTTTTTTAACAATAGAACCACAAAATCATGGGTCTCATTGCCACCCAGCTTCCAGAGGTGGAACTAAGTCTAGAATTCATTTCTTTCAACTCTTAATCCAGAGGCAAATAATATGAAAAAAATAATTATAATTCAAGGAAAAGGGGAGAATTCTTCAATGAACTGTCTGAACAATAAGTGATATATGAATTGAACATTGGGGAGATGGGGTAGAGTGCATCTATCTGGTAATGCATATGAAAATTTGGCATATGGGAGAGGGCAGAACTGTCAAGATTGTGGTAGGAAAGCATTATTTTTTTTTTACCTGTGCTTGTTGGAACTTGACCTTGTTATTCTTGGATTGATGAAGCTTTCGTTTCCCAGAATCTCCCCTGGTTCCAATAAGGTTGATTAACACATTAGCATCTGTTTCAGCTCCTAGCTTTGAGCCAGTGTAGACATGAATCTCATAAGCCACCACTAAAACGTGAGAAGTGTACACTATTATTTCATTCATTTCTACTTCTTCCTCCTTTTAAATCTACCTAAAGCATACTTGAAAAGGAATCAGAAAATGCTTTCACTTTCCTGTCTGTCCCATGCTGCAAGGTCCCTGGACCCAGATCTTATTTTTTTTTTTTCAGTTGGAACCCAATTCAGAATCTCCCAGCTATTCCTGGAACTCCTGCTTCAAAATAATTATTACCAGCAATTATGCTCTCTCAATAACCACTACACTTTTCCAGTTATTAGAGGGACTTTTATTAAAAATTCTCTCTCTTAATTAGATGAAAGTGGCAATTTTTCTTCCTGAAGTTTGGCTGTTCTAATCACAGCTGGTCACTCATGCTGCTACTTCACGAACATTACTATTCCAATAATGGGGATTTTTAATAGCCCTCGAGAGAGCGAGAGGAAACTACAGAGATCCTAAAGAGATGCAAATTTAAATACAATCTTTAAAAAAGAGTCTGGAGGGGAACTAGCACATTATAACTCAGTAAATTTGACCTTAGGTTTAGGGCAATTTCCAAGATGTTAATAAAAAGGTATTAATTAGGAATGAGTTTATTCACGCTAATACTGCTAAAAATGAATAATAATTTGGACATAGAGAATGTCTTTTACTACAAAGGCTTCTGAACTGTTTAGAACTCAGACTACTCATCATCGTGCAAATGCATTCACAGAAATTCCCATGAACATTTTCCAAAGTACTAAGACATGAAAATGCAAGAAGTTGGAAAACAATGTGAGTGAGGAACATTGCCTGTGTTTTCATCAGGCAGAACCTTTAAAAAGACAAATCTGCTTATGTTGGGAAATGTTAAAAAACAGAACCAAACAGAAATTATAGTGTAACTTTAATGCTTTGAGAATCTGTGAGTTTTAGTGGTTTAGGTCCTCCCTCCACTAGAGATCACGACCTTCTGTAGTTTGTTAAAATGTCTTTGAGAGTTACTCTCATCACCCTATGGTTAATCTCATGATTAATATCTCTTAAAAGAATTCAACTGATCCTCAGAAAATAGACAGGTCAGTATAGTGGATTTTCATGTGAAACCCTTCTAATTTGGTAAATCTCTGCCAGGGCTTCTACTTTACTGACATAGATTTTGAGAGCCCACAATCCTCTTCAAAATGAGAAGGAATGAGAGATGGGCAGATAAGAACTATCCCATCCTAAAATACTCCAGAGTAAAATGCTATTGAGATTTGTTCTAAACCATCAAGAGACATTTGCAACTAAATTGCAAAACAAGGACAAGGCAAAAAACAAACAAACCCACAAACTTGTTAATTTCTTTCTTTTTTTTTTTAAGTAACTGTAGTTACCAGATTTGGCAAATGGCAAATCTCAAAATGAAACAGAGCCAAATCAATGTTAGGTTTCATTTACAGTTATCAGTAAGGAATCTTTTGTATTAAAAAGCATTGAAGACTATCACTACTGTGAGAAAAGAATGCATCTATCAAACATGACAATGAAATACCTGCACAAGGGTTTACATATGTTTTTTTCTCTCTTTTTAATAAATTTAAACTTAAATACACAATAAGAAAAGAAAAAAAACCATTATAAATATAAATATTGAAACTTAAATACAAAATAAGAAAAGGAAAAAAAGTATTGCCTTAGCAAAACATGAGAGGATTCAAAATATAGAGCAATAAATTTCCATTTCAAGAAAGTCTATATAATAAATACTATGCATTGTGTTCAGAGCTATCCATCTTTTCTTTGCTTCCTTGTAACTTTTCTTTTGCTCTCTGCTGTGCAATTTTTACTTTGTCCTTTTTTCTCCCTTCCTCCCTTCTTTCCCTCAAGAAGGCTACAATTAAGTATATATATGTGTGTGTGTGTGTGTGTATGTATATATGTATGTGTGCATATATAGGTATGTATATATGTAAGTATGTGTGTATATATATATCTAACCCATGCTTTATATGTGTACACACATATATGTATATGTGTATATACATATATACATACAAACATATACAGATACAGACAAAGATATATACATACATATACACCTACATACACACATGTACATATACATATACATATGTACAAGTATGTCTATATATCATATCTAGATATCTATAATCATATATAGACATATACATTTATATGCATCTATGTAAGACCATACTATGCTTATTTGACCTCTGTTTCTCTGAGGGTGAATAAAGACTTCATTCAGAAGTATGAATCTTTCCACATTTTTTCTAAGTCCACCAACTTGTCATTTCCTACACCACAGCAATATTTCAATCTTATACTGTCTAGTTATTTTAAACAGTCTAAAACAATATTGATTAATATGGCTGACATATAGTATAGTTTCCCTATTTTTCTCTTTTGATTAAATCTATTTTAGCTTTAACTTTGTCTGAAATCATGAGTACTATTCTTGCTTTTTTTCTGAAATAAATTCTATTCCTGATCTTTATTCGTGTTTGTATTTATCTCTTATTTCCTATGTCTCCTAACTCAAAAGAGTTACCTTACTTTGACCCACTACCTTGCCCTCCTATTACTTAACCTACCCCACCTCCAAGGATTCCTCCCTTATCCTCCCATTCCCATTAATCTAAACACCCTTCTATACCCCCCATTATCCTATTCCCTCACTCTCCCCTCTAAAAATCCCTCCCTTATCTCCTCCCCCAATGCCCTTGGCCTTTTATTTCTTTCTGAATTTAGAAGACTTTTATATCCTCATAGATAAATAGATAGATATGCATAGTTCCCTCTTAAACTCATTCCCAATGAAAGTAAGTTTCCAGAACTAATAGCCCTCTTCCCCATATAATTCCTCTGTGTCAGTTCTTCCTCTCAAACATCATTTGCATAAGGTAATAACTCTTTTTTACTTTTTCCTAAACAATTTTACTTTTTACAATCATATCATACTCAGATCTACTCAATCTTTATTTTGAACTACCCAATTACTAATAACAATCTTAGATACACTTTTTACATTTCCTCATACAAAATGTAAACAATCTGTCTTTATTGAGTCCCTTGTAATTAGTTTTTTAATATGTAATTTATATTTCTCTTGGATCTTCTATGTCAAATCTTCTATTAAGTTCTGAAAGTCTGGCAATTAATTCAATATTCTTTTTTTTTTTCCATTTAGGATTATGCTTAACTTTGCTGGGTGTGGTATTTTTGGCCACAACCCCAATTCTTTTGCTCTTCCAAATATTGTGTTCCAAGACCCATGGTCTTTTAGTAACACTGCTGCGAGGTCTTATGTAATTCTAATTGTGGCACTTCCATGTTTAAATTTTTTTTTATTGTTGCTTGTAATATTTTTCTCCTTGAGCTGGGGGTTCCAGAATTTGACTATAATACTCCTGTAGGTTTTCCTCAAGGGATGTCTTTCAGGTGGTGATTGGTGAATTTTTTTTTCTATTTCTACTTTTCCTTCTTATTCTAATACTTCAGGGCAATTTTCTTCAATTATTTTTGTATTATTGCATCAAGATTCTTTTTCTGATCATAGCTTTGAGGTAGTCCGATTATTCTTATGTTTTCTCTTCTTTATCTGTTCTCCAGATCAATTGTTTTTCTTATGACATGTTTCACATTCTCTTCTATTTTTTCATTCTTTACATTTTATTATTTCTTGGTCTCATAACTTCACTGGCTTCCCCTTGCCCAATTCTGATTTTCTTTTTTTTTAATTAATTTATTTTGAATTATCAACAATCACTTCTATAAGCTTTTGAGCTTCAAATCCAATTCCGATTTTCAAGGAGTCATTTTCTTCCTTAAGATTCTGGATCTCCTTTTCTAATTGGTTGACTTTCTTTTAATAATCTTCTTGCATTTTTTGGATTGTTGTTACTTTTTTTCGCTCAATTTCTCTCATTTGATTTTTAAAGTATTTTTAAAGTCTTCCATGAATTCTTTTTGGGCAGTTGACCATTAGATGTTACTCTTTGGGGTAGGAGGGGCTATTTTTGCTTCAGTATTCTCCTTTGAAGATGAACCCCAGTCTTCTCTATTCCCATAGTAATTTTATATGATTGAATTCTTTCTCCTTTGCCTGTTCATTTTGTTGTTGTTGTTGTTTGTTTGTTTGTTTGTCTGTCTGTTTGTTTCGTAGCAGTTTATTTTTTGTAGTCATCTCTAGTCCTGGAGTATGAGAGATGGTGCCTCTGGCTTTAGATTCTCCTTCAGTTCTTCCCTCTGTCCTGGAACCAAAACCAAGAACTTTGCACTCCTATAAATGCCCACAGCCAGCTCTGTCCTTGCTCCACTGTTCTGGCTTTCAAAGAGCAGGCATGTGCGGGTGGTTCCTTCTTACCCAGGGGCATGTCTCAGCAGCATAGCTGGGTCTGATGTTCCTTATCAGCAGGAGCTCCCTCAATCTTATTGTCAGATGCCTGACTCGCCACATTGTCCAGAAGGTGAAAATTCCTGTGACTGGGGCCAAGTCTACCTCCCAACCCAGTTAACCCCAGGGTTCACCACTTGCTGTTTGAGTGGAACTAGCCTGGAGGTGTTTACTCTTCACAGGGACCAAACCTCAGTCCTAGGATTTTTCTTCAGACTTTCTCCAATTGTCCCAGGAGGACCACTGTTCTGCCACAAATCTTGTTTATTTTTACCATTCAATGTTCTCCCTGAGGCATTATTTTATCTTGTTTGGGTGGGAAATCTGGAGAGCTTGGAATTTTCTAACCCACTCCAGCAACTTCCCACAATCCTCTTATGTTTTAAACCCAAAAATGACACCCTTCATTGTGTAAATAGCATCACTTTCTTATTACTTACTTGTTCCTCCTCTACTTCTCCTAATCCCCCTTCCCCCAAATCCTTTCACCCTCCCTCTTCATTCTTCTTCTAGATTTTTTTCTAGCCCCTTTACATTTTTTTTTTCAAACCAAGAACAGCATTTGCTTATGTCCCATCCAATTTTTCAAGATCTTTTAAGATCACTGGCTATGGTGTAGCA